GTGTGTGTGTGTGTGTATGTATGTATACATAGAATAAAAGCAGGAAAACACTGGAGTTAGTCCTAGAGAAGAACCAAAGGTCTTTGTTAGAACCTTTGTTATCTCTGGAACTTTTAAGATTAGATATCTTCAAGGAAAAAGCTATCTGTGGTGAATAATTCTATAAAAGAATCCTACACACGTATCTAAAAGCAGAATTATTTCCTTTACTAGAATAATTATGTCTGTATTCCTTTTTTATTATTATTCCTTTTAAAGCTAAACATTAGCAGCATGCCTGAAAATATATTTAATACTAAAAAAGCCTTAAAAGTAGCCTAGAACTGAAACCTAAAGAATCTTCTTTCAAATACAGCAATTGAATATTTACCACAAGACAGTTGATAAAACAAGAACAAAAATGTTTCTAAAAAGCTGTGCAAGCTACAGATCCATTGGGTGGGCATTCAAGATAAGGCTGAGGGCATACATCAAAGAAAGTACAAGTTATGAAATACTCTTAATCATGACAAAAGGAACAAAAATTGCCCTAACCCTATCTTGTCAGGTTATACCAAAGTTTGTATGTCTCTTTTATAAACTGGCTTCACCTGAATGTCATCTATATCATAATCTGAGATTTAATTATGAAAACTTCAATCATATACAGGATCATATTCTTTGTACTTGATGCTCATATTGTTTCTTTAAAGAACCGAACACTCACCTGTACCAGATGTATTGGCGTAAAAATAATAAACGATCTGTAATAAAAAAAAAAACGTAGCAAAGCCAAATATAAGTCAGCTATCCTTTAAGAATTATTTTCAAATTACATTTATGGATGAGAAATCTAAAATATATTGCAGATAGAATCATTATAAAACAAAACAGAGAGAAAACAACTCTTAAAATACAAGAAAAAATATAACCTACTGTACTATAACTTTACATTGTCATACATTCATGTTAAGTTCCAAGTTTAAGTGTCTTAAGAAATTTGAAGTATCTCTTAACAAAAAGTAAAAGTGATTTGAGATGTTAAATTTAATCTACGAAACTTTAAGAAAATCCTGGATTAGAAGTCATAGTAAGCATCTTTTCAAGCCAAAATATCTGTGTAAAAATTTTAAAAAGATACCATTTTACTCGCTATGGCAAAGATTTTTAAAAGCCAATTAACACCTAAAATGCGGAAGTCCACAGGAAACAAAATTTCTAACACATTGTTATAAAATGGCATTTAATATGATCCTATTTAAAATGTACATGTACATATATATGTGTATGTATGTATTTGTTGCTGTTTTGCCGTCGAGTCGGCCCTGACTCATAGCAACCCCTCCTTGGGTTTCTGAGGCAGTATCACTACAGAAGTAGGATTGCCCAACCTTTCTTCTGAGGAGTGGCTGGTGGGTTTGAACCGCCAGCCTTCTGGTTAGCAGTCAAGTGCTTTTAGCGACTATGCTACCAGAGCTCCTGTATGTTGTTGTTGTTGTTGTTATGTGCCGTCGAGTCGGCCCCGACTCATAGCGACCCCTCCTTGGGTTTCCGAGGCAGTATCACTACGGAAGTAGGATTGCCCAACCTTCCTTCCGAGGAGTGGCTGGTGGGTTTGAACTGCCAGCCGTCTGGTTAGCAGGCAAGTGTCTTAGCCACTATGCTACCAGAGCTCCTGTATAGTTAGGTATATATCGGTGGAAAAAGACCTGGAAGGAGATCAGTGATTATCTTTAGGCAGGGAGATGAGGTGTAATTTTTCCATTGTAACTTGTAGTTATCAGTATTTTCTAAATTTTCTACAATAAATTATTACTTTTGTACATTCTCTAAAGTTCTGTAAGTTCAAAGCATTTGTGATCATTTAAAAAAAAAGAGTATGTCAGTGTTTTCTGTATCAGAAAATAAAATTATAGCCAATTTGAAATACTCTAGTCCTTTGAAACTGAATGTTCTCTTAATAAGTAGCTCAAAATCAATGATATAATAAGGATGGGCTTTGGAGTCAGAAAGTCCAACAGTCTAATTCCAAATACCTTAGGCAAGTTCTCTTAATCTAAAAACGTGAAGGAATAACAGTATCTACCTTTCTGGTCCAGTAAAATGATGCCATTAATTAATGTACATAAAGTCCTCATTTGCTAGCTCATCTTAAAATCTGTCATAAGTTAAAATAATGTCCTTGTTGATCAAATTTGTAATTGTTCTTTCTATAAGAATCCCTCTCACCAGATGTATCTGAAATATCATGTAAACCACTTAAAATGCACTCTCACTATCTTTTCACCTTTAATATCCATAGGCTTGAGACTCACACTGGTTTAATTTTCTTCATTTTATGTAGAAAACACATCCATAATGGTTAAACCCAGGCCATACTTTAGGTCTAATCTGCATTAAAAATGTATATGTGTGTATAAATTTATATATATAAATTAAATTCAAGTAACCTACATGCTACTCACTCTTATCAAGCTCCATACACCAAAAGTCTAGAAGATACATTTTCAAATCCCTAAAGTTTCTAAAACAGTGAAGTTATACCTGTAAAGGAAAAAATATATTGTTAACTGTATCATCTTATGTGTAAGAATAAATAAGCTATATTTACCTCTAATTGCTTTTGTGATGATAAAGGATGCACCATGTTTTCGGCTGCCTCTAGGCTGTAATTATTTAAAAAAAAAAAATTAATTAAGAAAACTTGCACTTGAGGATTTTCTAGTAATACTTATACCACATGCAAATGTGTGCTTCTTTACTAATATTCAAGACAGTAGTATTTAAAAACTACCTATCATTTAAAACAAAAAAGCAGACTCAGATCTGGGGACAGTGAAAGTTAAAAGTGAGCATGGCAAAGTTATAGGAAGATGTCAAGATGAACCTTTAAAGGAAAGCAGGAATTGAGACTGGAAACTGTTTTCATATCAAAACACCAGTCCAAAAAAAAGTCAAGGGCAAAGGCCCTAACAATTGCCAGTTCAGCACAAAGCTATTTGAGTGGACTGCAAAGAACTAAAATAAGTTTTGCTCACAGAAAAAGTAGCCACGTGGATTACTGAATAAGAACATGCTGTGGGGCAAATTCAGTGAGTATCTTTTGTATATCTACAAAAAAAATGCAATTTAAAACCATACACTCATACATAATTGCTACATTAAATAATCCCATAAGTACATATTAAACACTATGTAGTTTAAACAACTCTAGGCATTGCAAATAATGAGTAAAATGCAGTAATATGCTATCAAGAAAGGTACAGTGGAGATTTAAAATAAGTACAGATATGGCTAAAACAACAGAAAAACTATTTCATTCAACAAACATGAATTGATTTTCCACATGCAAGTCACAATTTGTCCTTGGGAAGGATAAATAAGATGTAGCTGCCCTTAAAGAGCTTAAACAGTGAAGTCAATAGATTCTATAAATCAATATACCAGAAAAAAAAAAAAAGACAAGTACTATGAAGTTTCAATGTAAGTTGATACTGTGCTTGTTTAAAAAAAAATCAATTCAAAACATTAAGCATCCTGAAACATTGTAATTAACCAGGGAGTTCTAAGGAGCGAAATGTATCCTTATCCAACCAACAGCAGCAGCAGTGTCCAAGCTGCATAACCTATGAAATATTAACATTACTCAAAGCAAATAAAAACTAAGTAAATACTTGAAAAACAAAATAAGTTATTCAAGACAAATAGGAAAAAAATTAACAACTATAAACTTATAGGAAAGTAGTTTCTCCAGTAAACATTTGGAAAAGATATCTCAAAAGACAACTCCAGAATGGCCTCCACGATCTTGCTGCATTCTCTAAAATAGCGACTGGTACGTTAGGCATGCAAATATTTGGCGAATAAATGTGGATCCGCAGTTCTTATTCTTCGCTCACTCACTTCTTTAAGGTGACTGTGAGTCAGACTCGACTAGACTGCACACAACTCTTCATCCTCCAAGCTCCAATTCCTAAGTCACCAATCCCTCTAACACATTCTTTAGCTAAAGCACCCAACTCTTCACTTCACTCCCAGGGCATTTTGCTCACGCTGGTATATTACGGCGTATATTACACTACTTTATGAGAAATGTTTGTTTCCCCTCTGGACCGCAACCTCCAAGAAAGGAGGTAAACTTTATTCATCTCTGCACCACAGCGCCTAGGGCAGTATCTGAGACCTGGACACTCGTAGACGGAGGGACACACAGACACACAAAAAATAATAATAATAATAATAAAAGCTTGTTTATTGAACGGGGGTGGCGTAGTTGGTGTGCTTATTGAAACACACAAAACGTGGCGCGAACCAGCGACTAGCTGCTGCTCACCAAATGGTGAAATTACTGTTGGGTCCTGAAAAATTCTTCCGCGACAGATGAGGGTCAGCCTTGACCAGCCCTCGCCAGCTCGCGGAAAAGGACACCAAAAGTTTAATTGTGGGAACAACCCTCGCATCCAACGACCTGCCCTCTCTTCAAAGTACAAGCAACGAAAATGAGAAAGAGAACGGAAAAAGTACGTGGCCCAAAACACAAGGTTCCACCTCCAGACAACCGAATTCTTAACACAAAAGGAATCCCTGGGGCCTCTAAATGATCGCAGCCCACCCCCCACGCGCGTGCTGTGGCGGCGTTACCACGACAACTGCACAAACCCCCAGCCCTGCTCCCCGCCCAACCGGCCCCACTCTCCTGTGTGGCTTCTGCTACATGGCTTGGCCCCGAACGCCGGCGTCAAGCTGGCAGCAGCCCAAAAAGAGCATAAGTTACCTGTACTTCTGTTTCCGGTGGCCACTCGGTATTAACTAACAAATCATACAGAATCGTCTCCTCCTCGCCCTCCGGCGATGCACTGCCTGAAATCGAAGCCTGTCCTAACTCGGGAGCCGCCATGTTTGCCCACGACTAGAGCAGCGGAGAGAAACACACACTACGGTATCCCGCAATGGACAAGCTTTCTTGGTCGCTGCTGCTCTTGCTTTGCGGAAAGGGAGTGAAGGGGACAATGAAAGGAAAGATTAAGTTAACCCTTTTATGAGTAGGAAGGACAGTGACCTTTGCAACCACTGAAAAGGGGAGAATCCTGAGGGCTCTTATCTTATTCAACAAGGTCTAACTCACTACCATTGAGTCAGATCCGACTCATCGCCACCCCTCCTTGGGTTTCCGAGACAGTATCACTTCAGAAGTAGATTGCTCAACCTTCCTTCCAAGGAGTGGCCGGTGGGTTTGAACCGCCAGCCTCTGGTTAGCGGTCAAATGCCTTAGGCGCTGCGCCACCAGAGCTCCCCAACAAGGTCTATTGGCATGTATGTACGGCTTGGGTCAGGGTCCTGGTGCACTCATTGTTAATCTGTGAAACCAAGTTATACTAACTCACTCACTGCCATTGAATCCATTTAGACTCATAGCGACCACCTTTGGGTTTCCCAGGCAGTAAATCTTTGTTGTTATGTTGTTATTTGCCATTGAGTGGGATGGGACTCATAGCTACCCCTCATTGGGTTTCCGAGGCAGTATTACTACCAAAGTAGATTGCCCAACCCTCCCTGCAAGGAGTAGCTGGTGGGTTTGAACCGCCAGCCTTTGGGTTACCGCCAGCCTTTGGGTTAGCAGTCAAGTGCCTTAGGCACTATGCTACCAAAGGGAAGTAGATGCCCCACTCTTCCTTCCACAGAGTGGCTGGCGGGTTTGAACCACCAACCTTTTGGTTAGCACTTGAATGCCTCAGGCACTATGCCACCACAGCTCTTTAGTCAAGTTACAGAACTCCACTTATTGGCCCCCTCAGAAGTGGGTGTTATTCTATGTGTTCCTTGCCTAGCACATAGACTCAAACAATGGCTTTTAAATGAACAACAAAAAATTACCTAACCAAACAGATCAAGCAAAAGTATCAGAAGAATGATGCAAAGCACTTGAATGCTAACCAGAAGACTGGCGGTTCAAACCCACCAGCCACTCCTCTGAAGGAAGACAGGGCAATCTACTTCTTTAGAGATACTGCCTCAGAAGCCCAAGGAGGGGTCTCTATGAGTCTCAATCGACTCCAAGGCAGTGAAGTTTTTTTTATTTTTTTAAATACATTTTATTGAAATATAATTTATGTACAGTGAACTACAAAAAACTAAAGTGCCATGGGTCAATGCATTTTTTTTTTTTTTTAAGGAAAGTAGTTTCTCCAATAAACACTTGGAAAAGATATCACAAAAGAGAACTCCAGGATGGCCTTCACGATCTTGCTGCATTCTCTAAAATAGCGACTGGTACCTTAGGCATGCAAATATTTGGTGAATAAATGTGGATTCGTAGTTCTTACTCTTCGGAGTGTTCCTTTCCCTCCCCTCCCACTCCTGGCACCAACAAAGAAAGTTTCCCTCCATATATAAAAACCTGTCCTTGACCCTCCACCTTTTTTTTATTTTGATGTGAAAGTTTATCATTTTTCTTTGAGGTTACCCTGTGATTTACAGTTTTCTTCCCAAGTTTAGAACAGTCCGTTCCATCTCGTAGTTGTCTTGACTTCTCTACCATCTAGAAGTTCTGTAACAACACAGTTTTTCTTTCCCTCTTTTTGGTTTGTAGTTGTGCTCATTTGTCAATTGGTGTCTCTGGTTCCCTGTTTACATTCTTGTACACTGATTTACTTTGGATACTTCCATAGATGGGTTGGTTTCTGGGTTATGTCATCATGTGTGTTAATGGTCAGTTGTTGTTGGCTGTTGTTGCTTCTCTGTCCAAAGGGCTCCCTTTAGCATCTCTTGTAAGGTTGGTCTGGTTTTAACAAATTCCCTTACTTTCTGCTTATCTGGAAATCTCCTAATTTCACCATCATATTTGAGGGACAATTTTGCTGAGTACATAATTGTTGGTTGGAAGTTTTTCTCTTTCAGTGTTTTATATATACTATCCCACTGTCTTCTTGCCTGTATGGTTTCTGTTGAGAAATCCAAGCTTAGTCTTATTGGTTGCCTCTTGTAGGTAACTTTTTGTTTTTCCCATGCTGCTCTCATGATTCTTTCTTTGTCTCTGGTTTTGGTGAGCTTGATGATGATATGTCTTGGTGATTTTCTTTTGGGGTCTATCCTGTTTGGGGTTCATTGGACTTCCTGAATGGATATAGTCTCATCTTTTATCTATCAGGGAAGTTCTCCAACAAATCTTGGACAATTTTCTCAGTGGTTTTATTATTCTCTTCCTGTTCTGGAATTCCAATGACACGTAGATTATTTCTTTTGATGGTATCCCACATGAACCTTAGGCTTTCTTCATTTTGTTTTGATCTTTTTTCTGATTGATCCCTTTCCAAAGAAGTATTCAGGTATTTGTCTTCAGTCTCATTAATTCTGTCATCCTTTGTATCAATTCTACTCCTTTGCCCTTTCAATGTGTTATCTATTTCTGACAATGTGGTATTAATCTTCTGGATTTCTATCTGTAGATTTAGAATCATTTCTAATTTTTCATTTATTTTGTCAGTTTGTTCGTATTTTCTTCCAAAATTTTTCTAAGGTGTTGTCTGTGTTTTCCATGGTCTATCTCTCAATCTTTTGAACATACCTAAATATAATTCTTTTGAATTCCTTATCAGGAAGTTCCAATGCTGTGTCTTCCTCAGGGATGTGTTTTGGGTCTGTGTCCTGGTCCCTTGTTTCTCCTGCTTTATCTTGCTTCTTTGTGTGGACTATGATGCTCTGTTGTCTCTGAGACATTGTGATGTTTTTGTGTTTATATTTAATTGGTGATTGTATGTTGGAGTGACTTGCCCACAATTTTCATTTTTTGTTTTGTTTGTGTGTTATCTATGCAGGCAGGGTACTGTGCTGTGCTCCTCTATTCACTACTTGACAGCACTTATACACTCACCACCTGTGTCCTTTACTGTTGTCAGCCTCTCGTATGTCCTTGCTGACTTTGGCAAACACAGCCTATTCTTATGTCCCTGGCATCCGAATGAGAATGCTATTACTTTAAAATCCAGAATGGTTGCCACTTGTAAACATTCAAAATGGCTGCACCCTCAGTCACTTTAAATATCCAGTATGGCTGCCCCGTGTAAACAATCAAAATGTCTGCACCCTCCGGACAGCAGAAGGGCCACAGCTCAGGTTGTCTCCTCCTTGCTGTTTCGCTTCCTAGTCCTAGGCCACCAGCACAGTCATGCCTGCAGCCCTTGGTGACTGGGGCTGATCTTTAGGTCAATTTTCAGGTCCAAACACCACTTGGAAATATTCAGGCTATTGGTCCCATCAGAGCAGCTGACAGTCCACAGCTCTGACCATCTCTGTACTCACTTTTTCTGTTCAGGTTTTTCCACTAGTTGGTGCCTGATCAACTTCTGTGTACTTCCTTTCAAAGCTCAGCGCTCTTCTGTATCTCTGTCAATTAGTTTTTCTTTTCTTTGTTGAAGAGGGTCTGTATCACTTGTCTGCCTATTCCTCCATCTTATCCAGAAAAGAAATTGGCAGTGAGTTTTTGAGTGAGTTTAAATGCTATAGGAAGGATCTCAGAAAAGCCAATGAAAGCCAGAGAATCTGAACATGCTTTCATGTCTTAAAAAATGGTCAGAATTTAGAGCCATATATCTGATTGTTAGGAGCTCTGCTAGCGTAGTGCCTAAGTATTTGACTGCTAACCAGAAGGCTGGTGGTTCAAACCCACCAGCGACTCCTCAGAAGGAAGATGGGACAATCTACTTCCATGGAGATACCACCTTGGAAACCCAGGAGGGGTCGCTATGAGTCAGATCCAACTTGAGGGCAGTGAGTTTGGTTTTTGATTGTTGCTAGCTGCCCTCAATTGGATTCTAACTCAAGGAGACCCCCACGTGTTAAACATAGATTTGCTCCATAGAGTTTTCTTGCCTGGGATCTTAACTGAAGCAGATCACCAGGCCTTTACTTTTGTAGTTCTGTTGGATGGGTTCAAACCCACAATGTTCCAGTTACCAGGTACTAGTTGAATGCAAACTCTTTGCACGACCTACACACTTGAATGGGTAGAATTTTAATCAAGTGGATTTGGTGAGAATCATTTCAAGTAGGGGGAAATAGAGTGAGCAATGACAAGGCAGAAAAATATAGTTGAGAGAGCAAGCAGGCTCTTTCCCCACACCAACTTGAGAAAGGGAGGGAGTGGAGGAGGCAATAAAGTTGGAATAAGTCAAGGGCAGACCAGGGTATGGTAGTTAAGGTTATGTGTCAACTTGGTTGGGCCTGGTTTTGAGTGGCTGGGGAGCTGGATGTAGTGATTCCCCATGATGATACAGGTAATCAACTCCATGGTGCAATCTGCTGTGAGCAGCTGAGTAGCTTCCTTAGGTATGTGAGCTGCTTCCAGTATATAAGAAGAAGCTTTGAAAAAGGTTCCTGAGCTTTTGGGGACACTTGTACCCTGCTTTTAGCTGAGTCTTCATTCAGCAGCTTCCCATGTTGCCTACAAATCTTAGGACTATTTCTGGACTTGAACTAGTGGCCTGCCTTGTTGTTTGATTATCTTGGGGCTGTGGCATCTTACTTGTTGACCCTGGGTTTGTCAGCCTCAGCAGCCAGCAGCTGCCTGAGATAGAGAAGGCTCCAGCTTCAGTGGGCTGGGAGCAAGAGGCAGAGCTGAAGCCCAAGGTTGAGAGGCCTTCACCTAGCCCCTAGAGCTGAAACTTTGAACTCAGACTTCTAGCCACCTCAGGTGTAAGAGAATAAATCCCTGTTTATTAAAGCCATCCATTTGTGGTATATCTGTTATAGCAGCACTGGAGAACCAAAATAGAAGTTGGTACCAAGAGTGGGGTGCTGCTCTAACAGATACCTAAAATGTGGAAACAGTGGAGTGCATCCTTGGAACTGAGATCCCTGTGCTGAGGGGATGGGAGAGACACTATAGCAGCAGAGCTGAGAGACCAGCT